ATCGGGCAATCATTTCCAAACCCACCCAAGCCATGCGCAGGATCGCCGCAGTTGGGGACCCCAGCTCCATTGGCAATGAGTTGGGCATAGCCGGCCAGCACTTGGTCTTCGTCGTTTTCACCTGGCACGTGCAAGTTTTCCCTGGGATATGATGTGTGTTGGTCCTGGTGGATCTCCTAAATATTGTTGCGGACTGTTTTTTAAACATCGCAACCTGTCTCTTTCGAGGTTGTGTTTCACCCTCCCTTTCATGTGATCACACACGTGGCTGGCCAAGCCATGAATGCAGCTAGCTCCAACAACAAACGATAACATATGGCAACATTGCAATCAGCTTTAACCATAATATAAATCAGAATTGAATTGCTTATCACAGTGTATATTGTTATGTCTTTGGGTGGATCCCGGTAAAGCCAGCAGCTGCAGGCAACCCACTAAGCCACGTGTTCTGCACATGGCAACGTACCCATCAAAATCTGAACATCACGACCATGTCCATCTACTGGACGGACTGGCCAAGACTCACAAGATCTCAGGATTTCTCTTCATTGATCTTTTTCAGCTGCTTCAGGACATTCCTGAGACAGGTGAATACGCATGCCGGCCAACCAAAGAGGTGCAGAAGCATTAAGAGTCAAACATGAAGGGGCATTGTGAATTTAATTCTCATTGAAACCTAGGTGTGCCAATCTGATCAAAGTTCACTCACACCAATTGGACTGTTGAGGAATTATATAATGCAGCCAGATGTCTTCGCACTGAGCTCTGTAGGGGTGATCTTTGAGCACCTTGGGACAAATGTTCAACATAACTAGATGCCTCATCGCTCAGGCCTCTTCCAGGTTGTACTTTGGTGCAATCAAGGTGCGCAGAGGTGGTGGAACGGATTTGCTCTCGGATCTTCCTCAGGAACCTCAAGGGTGAGGGCCAAGGGGTGATGGTGTGACCAATATCTGGTTCTCTCACAAGTGTTGTTTTGCCCAAGCCCCGTTGATGCACTATACTACAACAGCATGAGTTTTTGTATGTTGGCATCGATGCATTTAACTTCAGTGGTGTGTTAAACATATTCTGTACATTTCTGTACTTGGTGATTGCAAATTCGAAGGTCAAGGAGCCCTTGCTTCCCAACTTCTTGGGTGGAAGGATCACGAAGGCCGTCCGTGTCCAGCTTGACAATCTCGCAGGCAGCATACTGTTCATTGAGGATTTCAATGGACTGCTCCAAGCTCTGCACCGACCTTAGGATCGCAACGTGGTTAGGGTTACTGCCGGGGAAGGTTGAACAGGTTGGAATGACATCCTGCGTGCAACCATATGGGTAGTGCAGAAAGAAAATGCTGGCATGAGGCTTCTTGACACGTTTTCCATCAGTGGTTTCTGACCCCTTGTCACCAATCTCTATCTCCAATTGCCCAACCAAATCCGCAAGCTTTGTGGAGCGGGAAAGAAGGGATTGCGCAAAGGTCACAAACTTCTGATGCTCCTGCACCAGCATCCCACAAAATCCATTGATAAGCAGCATGCTGTATTCCACTCCCAAGAGTGCCAACATTGGTGGTTTGTACACAGTATCTTGATTTGATGGTGTGGTTCCTGATTTGGGTGAGTTGGAAATCTTTGGACAAGAACCACCATTCATGAGGTTTCTAATTCCAACAGAGTGTTCAACACAATGCATTCCCAATCCTTGGCCGCAGAGTTAACCTGTTCAGCCTCTTTCTCCTCTTCATCATCCACTTCAGACTGATCAGGATCCTCCCGACCAAGCATCCTGAAGGAAAGGTCCTCCGCTGCCTCAGGTATGGTGCTCTTGGATGTGGCTGTGACCATTGAGGCTTGGAGATTGGGGTAGGAACAGAAAGCTATACGAAAAAGATGCCATGGCACTTCACCTGTTTCTTCGTGCTTGTGCTCCTCTTCATTCTCTGAAATATCATCCTCTTCTTCACCATAAATGACATAGTACTTGCGGATCTTAGGATTGTATCGGTCCTTCCTAGGATGTTTCAACATAGTCGTTGCGAAAGTATGTGTGTGTGTATGATTGTGTATGCACATGCGCAATGGAA